CCTCCATTGTTTAGGAATTAGAGTGTGAGCCAGAGATTCATACATGTATACAATATCTGTAAAGTTGGAACATGTTGTTGGCAGCAGTTTGAAAAACAGCTTTTGTCTCAAGGTCCATGTACCAATCTTTGTGGAAAGAGATTGTGACTGTAAAATAACTAACAAGAACCAGGTTCTTCTGACTAGAGTGAAACAAAAATGAGAGAGACATTTATCGCTTTTCTCTGATCTTAGGAGTTTCTCAAAACTAAGTGTCGGTGGTGGAGCTAAAAAAGTGTCGGCAGAAGGAAGTGGAATGAGAAGAAGCATAATGTGGAAATTGCAGAAAAAAGCAGAGAGGTTTACGTCATAAGACATATAACAATCAGTTGAAATTGAATGATGTGCAAGTCTTGAGAAATGGGACCAAACTGATATTAATTCGGGTGGGTTTGTTGATGACTGATTATTCTGGGACCGAACTAGAGATCATGATCTTGTCTCTTTTACTTTTCATAGGCTTTCATTATTTGTGGTCATGCCACAAAACCATTGTATCCCTGTCTACTTCGTTATTAATTTTATTTTAATTCTTCTATTTGTTGTCACTAACAAAAACTTGAACGCGTAACCAATGGTCTCCGGCTAGATTTTAGTTTCAATCACGTTGTTTTATTTAGTCAATCTTCAGCTTAGGCAATTACAATTAGCTTCAAACATAACAACAATGTCACAACTCTTCAGTGAAACTTAACACAAAACCAAACAACAAATACCGATTTGCCAACCAGATTAGGCTCTTGAATGGGAAAACTTTTCTATTCTTGACTTTGCCTATATCAACCAAGAAATGCTACTTAATCTAAGGAAAAGCATACGCATGTTTAACATGATCACATTACGCTGAACCTAATGCACAACAGAAACTAGATGCTTCTAAGGGACTAGAAGGTTGTAAGCATCTTCCATGGAGCAGATTTCTAAATACCTGCGGAGTGATGCAGCTCAAGTTCATGCAAAGATAAGCCATGGTTTTGAAGAAGGCAACATCAAAGCCGATGAAGGTTTCAAGCATAGGAGCACCCTCTAGGGT